CATCAAAGTAAGCTAGAAGATAGAAGTATAAAGCTTGTCCATCTAGGGACTGAAATGGGCAACAAAGCATATAGGTTGCTTGATCCTGAAGCTACAAAAATTTATACTAAGAGATGTAGTATTTGAAGAAGATCGAGCATGGAATTAGGTGGAATCAAGCAAGTTTGATGCTATAGGTACATTTGAAAATATTAATAATCGACCTAACTATGATGATCAGGAGATTTTATCTCATATCACACAACCAAGTCACAATGAATCTAGTGATTCGTCATACACTTTATCGCTAGAAGACTCAAATATGAGAGATGAAGCTCTTATACAACTAAGATCACTCTTATACAACCAAGTCACAATGAATCGAGTCATTCACCACAGATCAACAAGATGAAAATTTGTTAAAAGCAATGAAAAGTGAAGCCATTGAGAAAAATAAAACCTGGAAGCTTGTCAACTTGCCGCCAGGAAACCATAGGTATAAAATGGGTCTATAGAGTAAAATGAAATCCCGAAGGGAATGTAGTGAAACACAAGGCGAGACTTATGGCAAAAGGGTATGTGCAAAAACCCGGTGTAGACTACGATGAAGTGTTAGCACCCGTTGCTCAAATTGAAACAATACGAATTTGACTTTTTCTCGTTAGTAAAAATAGCTAGAAAATACACCATCTTGATGCTAATCGGGCTTTCTTGAACGGTGTCCTTGATGAAGAAGTTTTCGTTTCACAATCTGAAGGATTCGTGAATAAGCAAGAACCCCAGAAAGTATATAAGTTGTCAAAAACTCTTTATGGTCTTCGACAAGCGCCAAGAGCAAGGAACCATCGACTCGAAAAATGCTTGAAAAATCTTGGTTTTGTCAAATGCCCTCAAGAACATACGGTTTATTCAAGGAAATGAAAATTTAAATTGATTAATAATTGGTGTATATGTTGACGACTTAATTGTCACAGGTAGCTGGGAAGATGTCATCAAGAGTTTCAAAGACCAAATGAACCATGAATTTGAGAGGAGTGGTCTGGGAATGCTTGATTACTACCTCAGTTTGGAACTGACTTAAAAGGAAGGTGAACTTTGCTTAATACAAAAGGCTTATGCAAAAAGGCTTCTCGAAAAGTTTAGGATGAATAACTATAATTCTTTCAAATATCCCATGGAAGCAAAGTTGGAATTGAAGAAAGATGAGAAAAGGGAGTTAGTAAATCCAACTGATTATAGAAGCCTTGTGGGTGCATTGAGGTATCTCACACATTCTCGATATTTCCTTTTCAGTGGGAATGGTAAGTAGATTTATGGGAAAACGCATAAGTATGCACATGCAAGCTGTGAAACATATACTAAGGGTCTGTTTGATAAGCCTTCTAATTGGGTCCAAAGTTAGGATCAGGTCTTCAATCCCCAATCAGCTTGTTTGTTTTGCCTTTTGCAACCTTGGACTCGGTCCAAATCAGGGACTTAGTCCCCAATTTTATGTTGATTCGGTCCTCCAATAAAATGAAGTTGACTCGGTCCTTCTTTTACCTTTCATGTGTTTGCCCTTCACCTTTGTTCCAAAATAGAATTCACACCTTCCCTTCTTCCTCCTATCTAAAACAACATGAATGATATTCACCATCTCTCCTTCCCCCGTTCATGCATTCTCTCTTCGTCTCCGCTCCGATATGGAAATATAGATTAAAGTGCGAGGGGAGAGCTCTGAAGTCATCGCCATCAACTGATTGTGGTCGTATTTGTGGCCTCCTTCCAATCAAAATTAAGGTTTCTGAATCCAGTATAATGGTACTCGCAAGTCCTCTCTTTGATTCTTGTGTTCTTTGACACTTCAAAAGAGCTTTAATTAGTGATTTTTGGAACTTGGTATGTTATCAGGTATTGAATGAGCACTTTCTGCTTCTTCCACTCACTGATGTTCATAGAATGTATATTCGTGAATACCTTGCTACTCATTATACATAAACAGAGGTAAAATCTCACCTTTTTCTTTATTTACATTATGTCTTTGGATTCTTCGATTTTTGTTATGTCATATGTGTCTACTCATGATTGTCGGATTCAATTCGCATTTAGAAGCAGGTTTTACCTGTTTCTTGCTTATTTATGTAGAAAAACTTTCGAAGGTTATTTTGTTTATATAAATAATTCTTACTTATTTACCTTCAAATTTCGAGTATGTTGCTTGCTAATTTCAATCAATTTCGATTATGGTTCTGTTTAGTTTGAAGATTGATTGATTTTATGATATTTTTACACACCTTTCTTTCATGTAAATTGAATCACTTACTTTGATTATGCAACAAACATTGTAATAAAATGTTAAAAGGAGTTTTTGTTACTCATGAAGGTATTGAATCCTAGAACACAGCAAAAGTTGACAATTGTGGGGGAAGATTTCGAAGAGGTACTTTCAAGGTGGAAAGTGTTCTTTCTCTAAATGTGTAAGTGATGTTGAAACTGTAGAAGAAAGAACAAGATTGCTAGTTTAGATTCTCTTATTATGAGCTTTGTGATGGGAGTAGATTAGATAAGGATTGCAAGTTCATAATCACTACTACATTGGGCTCTTTTCTACAATGGTTATTTATTGTTTACGTTTTTAGAAGTTTATCATGAACGTATAGTTATGCTCCTTTAATTAAACAACAAAAATAGTTCTTGAACCCACTTTTTAAAGACATTTTATAAATTGGTTTTAATTATCAAGATTGCATATTATTCTTTACAATCATAAACACAATTCCAAACAAATGAAAAAAAGAATCAAATAATATAAACTCAGTCATATGTGGTCATAAGGGTAATATAGTCATTTTTTATCATTCGCCATAGTCGGTCAGAAAAATAATCAAACAATAATGAAATAACATAAACTCAGTCAGATGTGGACTCAGTCAGAACTTCTAACTCAGTCAGCTTCTAACCCAGTCAACTCTAACTCAGTTAGAAACTATCAAACGACCCCTAAGGTATGTAAAAGAAACACTCGATTTCAGCTTGATTTACAACAAAGGAGATAGTGAGAATGTGATCACAAACTACACTAATAGTGATCTAGCTAAAGATGTTAATGACACGAAAAGCACGGCTGAAATTGCTTATTACCTCAATGAGAATCTTGTGACATGGTGCTCACAAAAGCAACAAACAATGGCATTGTCTCTGTGTGAAAATGAACTCATGGCTGCAACCATAGCAACATGTCAACGAATATGGATATACTGTATGATCCATGCTTTAACTGGAGTCCGATCTGCCCAGTTGTCCTTCACATTGATAACAAGTCAGCTCTCGAATTGATGAAAACCCAGTGTTCCATTGGAGAAGTAAGCACATAGATGCTCGATATCACTTCATTCGAGAGTGTGTTCAAAGAGGTGACATAGTCGTTTCACATGTTAGCACCCTTAAGCAACGAGCTGACAAACTCACCAAGTTGTTAGGCAGGATAAAGTTTGAAGACATGCATATGAAAATAGGAGTGAAGGAAATTCTAAATTACGGTGGAGAATGTCGGTTTAATTCAGGAAAAAGGGTTCAGGGGCATTTTTGGAAACTTGCCTTTTTTTTCCAATTTTAGAGTATGACTCAGATACTATTCTATTTAGTAATATATATATATATATATATATATATATATATATATATATATATATATATATATATATATATATATATATATATATACACGTAATTGCCTAATCGGTGCTTTGTGAATTCAATTCAGAACTAAGCTTTTTCCAGCATAATACTTTGGCTATCCTCCTTAATAAATGAAAGTTTTTTTTGCCACATGTCCTCTTCTTTCATTTTGACACATGGCATTTTCTAGAATTTTTGAATTTTTTATTTTCCACTTGTCATTTTATTGTAATTTTTATTTTATTAAATTAAAATTCCACATTTAATATGTAAGGTAATATATATGTAAGGTATTTATTAGAAATGATTTATATATGTAATGTATTTAATGTATTAAAGTCTCATTAATTTAATAATTTAAATTTTTTCTTATTTTTCTTATAAATTCAAACTTCTCAAATTGTTAAAATTTCATATTTAATTTTTTTTAAATAAACTCATGTAATACATGGGTTTCACACCTAGTCTACTCTAATAAATGAAAATCTTTTTTGACACATATCACACTCTCATTGATTTGGTCACATGTCATTTTATGGTTTTTTTTCAATTAAATTTTTTTCAACATGGCATTTTGTGGTTTTTTCATTTTATCAAACTTCACATAATATATAAATGTAATAATTATAATAAATACATATCAAATTCATTAATTGACGTTCTTTTTTAATTTTAAAATTTCTAAATTAAAACCTCATTAATTTCTTTAATTTATTTATCTAAATTATTTATTTAAATTTAAAAAAGAAAAAAACACATTAATTTTAATAATTTAATATTTTTCTAATTTTTGGTATAAATTCAAACTTTTAAATGTTTAGAATTTCATATTTAATTTGTTCTTTTAAATGAACCCATGTAATATATGGGTTTTACAAATATTTGCTTTTGTTATTTCCCTGTTCATCTTCTTCTGTTTTCGTCCCCCTTTCTTCTCCCCTGTTTCTGCTGTTTTTCCTCGGTGCACACTGCACAAGGTGCAGGTACAGCTACAAATCTCTCTGATTATAAAAACATGATTTGTTATTTTTAATGGGCATCATCACATAGTCTTTTACAAACATAATTACAAAACCAAATTCAATCAAAAACCCCAAACAAAGACCGGTGAGATCTATCTTATATATAGCTTGCATAGCTTACATTTTGTAACGCCAAATCTCATATAAAGCAAATTAGAACTTTACAAGCCACCAAGATTTTTTTTGGGCATTCTGCTAAATTCGGTGTCTGGATTTCTTCTCATAAAAGCATTCGAAGCCTATATATATGTATAATTTTGTTAATGTACAAGCACAAGATGCAAGAAATTAGCAATACACATAATCCGCTCTAATACTATCATGCCATCGAGTGATCACTAACTAATCAGCATGAGCATTAAAATCCGGCTCTGGAGGCTTTTGCAATTTCATCATTTCCCTTGCAATCTTAAGGTTCCGGTTCCTGTAGACTCCAAGAATTACCTTGGCAGCAAATGTCAAGGCCAAAAACGTAGCTCCGACACTGGAGGAAGTTCCATCGACACCACCTCCATTGATGCATGTGTTCAATTCAGCTTCTTCCTCCATCCTTCGCTGCATCAAAACCTTCCTCTTGGAATATCTCCGCCAGGCTGTTTGAATAAAGAATGCCGACCATGTCCTCCACCGCTTTGAATAAAATCGAAAAGTGTGTTGTAGCTGTTTATGGGGAATCCCAAAGTGATGGACAATAAATTTTAACTCGTTAGCTGGTAATCCATATGCTTCTATCTCACTTAAGGCCTTCAAGGTTCTAGTGGAAGATGGGAAGTTAGCACCGGATTTTGGGTCAATTGCCCAGGTAAGAAGCTCCTCGCAAGTGAAGTCACCATCTCCTAGATAACCATTGTTGAAGACACTGCTTTTCTCTTTGTATGTGGTTGTACTCTCAAGATGACCACGTATGATGAAGAGCATTTCATCGACAGAATCTCCTTCTTGGATGATGCAAATATTATCAGTGTATAATCGCGGCTTCAGTCGTTGACAAATATCGTGGAGTTGCCTCTCATTCATGTCCTTGAACAAAGGAACCTGCGATAATTGTAACAATTTTTTTTACTATTGACTAAATATCCACAACATTTTTGGGATTAGATTAAAATAATAAAGACAAAGATCTTATTCTACTCGATTGTTTATGATAAGAAATGCATGCTTCGAAGTAGTGAGTATGTGAATATAACTGTGATAAATTGAATGTCAATAGATGTTATAAGTATGTTTGTTACATAGGTCAAGCTTTCAAAGGCTATTTTTGAGATCAAGTGTAATCCCCATCTCACCTTTATTGTCACGGTTTGCTTCTAATGGAGCCTCAAAAAGAAAGGACGGACTATTATTTATGGATCAACTATGATAAGTTGATCATGATAACACATGTCAAACATTAAAAAAGTGTGAATATCCAGAATAAAAAATTGCGAATTACCCTCTTGACCAAATCAACACAAATATGTCGCTTTAGGTCTCTTCTTGGATCCTTTGGTAGATTATGGACCAAATTCTCCTCTTCCACTCCATGAGTTTCCAACCACTTGTACTGATCCTGGTGTCTCTCATGTTCTCGGAGATCAACCTAGAATACATTAAACATAAATCTAAGAATTGTCCAATTAATAGAAAATAAGTTTTAGCAAATGTGACTTTGCTTAGCAGAGATTTCAATTTAAATCAACAGCATTCTAGTTTCTATTGTTAAAATTACTAAGGAGTCATTACATCCTATACTACATCCTATACGAGTGTAATTTGAGGTTGTAAAGGCTCAAAAATACTGCAATATACTTATCAATTAAACTGATCAAACCAAACGAACCTTTTCTTGTTTGAGCTTTTCAAAACCGGGCTGGTATGTGGGTGTTGATACTGAAGCAGTTGAAAGCTGTTAACAGGAGTTACAAGTAGATTTATTTATATAGCAAACTGAACAAGATATGTGATAATATAGACGTGACACTTTGAAACATACAAAGAATGTATAAACATACATATTGAGACGATTATTAGACAAAATGAATGAATGGAAAGATTTTAAAAAAAAAAAAGCAACTTACTTGATATTCAAGGGCAGTCTCAAGTTCTGTCACAACCTGTTTCATCAATGGACGTTTTTCATTGTCACACTTCAAACATCGATAAGCAATTGTTGAAAACACCTTCAAAGAACTTGGATGTATTTCATCTTTTATATTGCCCCATACAATTTCATTGAGGTTGTTCCGTTTGTAATGCTTTCGGACCAATTGAGTAAAGGATCCATTATTGCCAAAGCACAATCTCCCACACAATACTTCAAACAAAACCACACCAAAGGAGTAAACATCAGACTCCTTTGTTAGTAATCCTGTCTCTAAATATAGCGGATCACAATAGCCAATGGTGCCTACGGTATTATTGGTCACAAGAAATGTGTATTTCTGGTTAGCAGGACCAAATCTGGATAGACCTAAATCTGCAATTCTGGCGTTCCAGTTTTCATCTAATAGGACGTTTGAACTTTTAATATCACGATGTAATACTCTTTGTTGGGTCTCACCAGGATCATGAAGATATGTTAGTCCACGAGCTGCCCCGATGCAAACTGTAAGGCGCCGAACCCATGTTAGATCCTTGTTGTCGAGATGCAAGTCTAGACTTCTCTTCGATGCATACTCGTACACGAGAATTTTCTCGCCTTTTTCATCACAAAACCCTAGGAGGGAGACAATATTTTGATGCCTATAAACTGAAAGCATAATGAGCTCCTTCCAAAACTCAGAGTCACCTTGCCCAAAAGCACGATCTAAACGTTTTATAGCTACCATGCTATGCCCCTTCGAATGGAGGAGTTCTCCCTTGTAGACTTTCCCAAATCCTCCTCTTCCGATGCAGCTTTCTTTAGCAAAGTTGTTAGTTGCTGATTTTATAACTTCCAGTCGTATTCTGAGGTGCTCGAAATGTTTTAGAACAGACATCGTTTTGATGATCTATCAAATATAGAATACAAAGACCAAGATTTCCAGTTAAGTAAATTCGAAAGGGGTAGGTATTGCGAGGGAAAAACAAAGGTAGAAGCGAGGGCGAAATAAAAGGAGGAGGAGACAGGTCACATGTGGAAGAAAAAAATCAAATCATTTCCAAATGTTTTCATCACGTTGTTAACTTTTAATCCTTTATAAAGTATAAAGATTTTATTTTCTAAAGATTGTAATATTGAAATACTCATGACAAGAGTTTTTTCAAAGTTATAAATAACCCGATGCGTGATAAACGACAATGTCAAGCTTCAATTTTGTGAGCTGTGACGAGCCAGAAAGTTTATTAAGGCGTGACTTACGTCGGCAATTTTATATATAATTAATACGTTTATTTATATTTTTTAATATATTTTTTTTTATATATACATATATGAATGAATGAAACATTTTGTTAAGGCGTGACGTCAAATACAAGCCTTAGAGTCATGACGTGTAATGACAAACATATGCCGAGTTTTTTAGACCTATGACTTTTTATGGGTTTTTTTTAAGTTTTTTCAAGCCAAAAAAAACACTTGAAATAATTTAAAAAAAAAAAAAAAAAGATAAGGTTATTCAAATTTTTTTTTTAATTACTTATGTGGCCATGGAGGTTTGCATGATTTCATGGCATGATACATAACCTCATATTTATAGTTTGATTTATAGTTGAAGATGTGTGCAAAAATCAGCCTAAAAACCCTCGTTATGAAATTCCTTCTTCGAAAAAAATGGTTTTGTAATAATTGTGTTTCTAAGATATGTTTTTAACAAATTATAATTGATAACTTGTAGAAACTATTCATAAAAGGCTAAAAGTTATTCAATTGTAGAGATATAATAAGGTTTTACATTTGAGGTTTTTTCATGCCAAAAAACTAATATAAATTTATCATGTTTGTTGCTCTTAGGTTAAAATATAAGGGATCGATACTCTAAATTAAAATTCAAATCTAATTTTTGACATTTTGTGGTAATTATAATTTAGTAAGTTTATAATTCAAATTTCATTAAGCTTACTTATTTTTGGACAGAAATGTATCTCACATTTAACAAAATAATTTTTCAATTGTCATTTATCTTGAGTATACACACAAACATTTTTACCTGTTTATTGATTTGACAGATAGGCCCTAAAACTATCTACTAGAGGTTTTTCAAAAAAGTTTTTGCTATTAAAAAACCTTTTGAAAATGTTTTTTGGGTTGGAAGAAACTCACTTGTGAAAATCATTTCTTTTATGCAAATCAACTTTTTTAAGTAAAAGATAAATAATTTTCAATATTTCTACTTATTTTGCTTAATTCTCATTGCAGATGATTATCACATTTTTATCGATTCACTTGCTAAAAAAGGCTGGAAATACATTAATATTTTTCAAATAACAATAAAAACAATCAAAAAGTAGAAAGGTATGCACTACAAGAATTTAGGGCAATAGGGTCGACAAAAGTCATGTTAATACATTTCAAATTCGTCCTAGTGTTTGCGACAAGTCATGTAATGTTTTATCATTAATGCTTCAAGGGTTGATGACCTAGAAAGGTAACAAACTTTGGTTTTTGTTCACATTAAGGTACCCATGTTTTTTTTGTACATGTATGACCATTGAACTTGTTTGATCTGTTCATAATAAGGTAATATGACTGATAATTAGCGGTAACATTACCCTATTATGAACAGGTCAAAGAAGTTTACTGGTCAGATATATACGAAAAAAACATGGTTATTTAAATATGGACAAAAATAAAAGTTCTTTACCCATTTTGGTAATATTGAGTTCTTTATGTTAACTACAAGTAGTCATAAGATCCATTGACGTGACATGAAATTGGGTTGTCCGGTCTTTGTGTATGAGGAGATAGTCAAGTCTTGGGTCAACCCAGTTTAGGCCCAGCTAGTTAGGGTTTAGGTTGTGTACGCTTAAGGGGCTAGACTGTATGTGCTTTAAAGACCTAGCAACAAAGCCTAGCCTATGACTAGCCGGGACTGAACTGGGTTAGAGGCAGCCTAACCTAATTGTTCATTGAGTGTTGGAGCCTGATTCCAGGGCACAGTCCCTGAGACGGTTCTTTTCCAGTATTACCAAAACGGGTAAGAAACTTTGGTTTTTGTCCATATTTAGGTAACCATGTTTTTTTCGTACACATTTGACCAATAAACTTGTTTGAACTGTTCATTATAAGGTAATATTATCGTAACTACCAGTCATATTACCTTATTTTGAACAGGTCAAACAAGTTCAATGGTTAAATGCGAACGAAAAAAACATGGTTACCTAAATGTGAACAAAGACCAAAGTTGGTTACCTTTCTAGATCATTACGCCATGCTTCAATGTCGCCACTAATATGTGTGCAATTGATATCACCCTACTGATGTCACCCACATTTCTAGTTATTTGCTAAATCATCAAATATTATTTTCTCAACACCCAAAAGGTATAAAGAAACACATAAACAACACCAAAAAACTTAGAAAAAACATTAACCTAAAAAAACATTGAACAAAAATGATTAATGTTGAAGTTATTTGTTATAAATGTCTAAAAAACATAGAGTAAAACATAAAACTACTTGAAAGTGTCATTATCAACGTCCCTCTCGATGTTGTTCCCCCGTTAATGCACATGCTATTATTTTGGATATAGAATAATCAATTATGAGAAATTAAATATCCTCATATGTCACATATCACCATTTCGCATGGGTAGAAATATAAATACGAAGAAAAAGTAGGAGGATATTTAATTTCTCAATCAATTTTTGTCCTCAAGTCTTGCTTATACATCACATTATTAAGAAAAGCATCAAGAAAATTTATCCACCAAATAAACAAAATGTACCAAACTACCGAAGTATCAACATATATAAACAAACGTATCAAACTACGAAAATCTCAACATATACCAAGCTACCAATTACCAAAATACAAAACTATCTTATAACACATAATCAAATATAAATCAAAAATTCGAAACTAGCATGCATTTATCAATCCTTAATAAAATTTTGAAATTAAAAAAGCTACTTTTATTAAACCAGTATGTTAACTAATTTACATGTGTATGGTGTGTTGCTTGTGATTGCCCTTCACAGTAACAACTTGAACTTGAGGCTCTAAAAGCTTTATGCCAAATGCAATTTACATGTCTCGACAAAGACCCATTACCTTTTCAAAGACACATCGTTCATCCATACTGATATGAAAAAGTCGCGTGACACCCCGATTCCATATGGTGGTATTTGATAATGTGGCCCCCGACGTAGGCCAAGAGTAGAGCCCCCAGGCTGGAGGACCCTTCAGATGGCTTGGCTAGGCCTAACATGGCTGCTCCAGCAAGACTTCAGCCCCCCGGGCGTTCCCTCAGGGTGGGACGTCCATGCGAAAGGTCTGGATCACAAGAACACCTTCTGCAACACGACAAGCATAACGGCTCCAGGCAGAGCATTATCGCTTGAACCAATCATTGGCCCCAACACAGCGAGGGACATGATTAACCAATTAGGATAACGGAACCTGTCGGAACTACAGTCCCTGTCCCTCGTACGGACCAACGAGGATCCTCGGTATAAAATGACCTCTACCCTGCTTTGAGAGGTAAGTTATAATACTCCCTTCCGCTATACGACAAGCATAACGGCTCCAAGCGACAAGGAGTATTGTAACACCCAAAAACATGGTTCCAAAATTTTGTTTTTAATAATGGATAAAACAGAGATTCCAATAACAACCAATCATCTCAAATACAAACCAATGTATTAATTGTCATAAAATCAAAGTAAAACATCAAGTGCGGAATCCAATGGTGTGTGCGATGCAGTCATCTCGATCTCTTCCCTCTGGAACCAGAAGCACCTGAAACATAAACTAAAAATCGTAAGCACGAAGCTTAGTGAGTTCCCCCAAAATACCGCATTGTGACAACCCAATACTTTCTAGTCAACAAAAGTCAATTTCCGTTAAATAAAATTTAGAATTTTATTTGTTCCGTTAAGTTCTTGTGGGTTAGAAAATAATCTAAAATATATAATTAGAGATTATATAAGTTTTCGAAACCAAAAACGCTCGAAAAATCAAGATTTCCCTCGAAAAATCAGCAAA